GGGTAGTTCCACAATTAGTTATGGTACGATGAAAAGGTTCCCGCAGTGCGAAAGGCCCTAATGGTCTTGAATTTCCTCCATTTGTACACAATCTGTCTGACTGTGGAATTGTGGAGTCCAAACTCTTTAGAGATGGTTTTGTAACCTTTTCCAGCCTGATGAGCAACAACAACTCTTTTTTTTGGAGGTCCTCAGAGATCTCCTTTGTTCATGCCATGATTCACTTCACAAATCAGAGTTTGATAGATCCCTGCTCTTTAAATAAAACAGGGCAGGCACTGACACCAGTTATTCCAATGACTGAAAACACCTCTGAACAGATGGACTCTAAATTTGCCTTCAAATTCACTCACATACTTTTGCCACTCACAGATATGTAATATTGGATCATTTTCCAGAATAAATAAATGACAAAGTGTATGTATTTTTGTCTTATTTGTTTGATTGGATTCTTTTTGTCAATTTGCAGGACTTGTGTGAAAATCTGATGAAATTTTGGCTCATGTTTATGCAGAAATATAGAAAATTCTTAAAGGGTTCACAAACATTCAAGCAGCACTGTATATGAGATGTTTACACATACACACAAAACAATAAATGTTACATTACAGTGTTTTATCTAGTGTGTCCATCTGGTGGCTCTTTTTTTATTGTAAGACTTCACAAAACTCACAGCTGGGTTTCGTTTTCATTTCCTTGACCTCCCTCTGACTCTGTTTCTTTGATGAAGTGGTAAGTTCTCCTGTTACAAACGTGACATCAAGGAGTAATTGGAGACATTGTCGGTGGTCTAGAATTTGGGTTTGACCAAACATAGTACTTTGTAGAATGTACAGTATCTCACACACACACACACACACACACACACACACCCTAGTGTGTGTGAAGCTCCCTACCATCTTTGCACTTATCGCTTTCCAAAAGAATAGTTTCATTGTTCTAAAGTGTGTGATTCACTCCAGAACTTTACCTCCTGCATCGCTCTAGTGCACTTTGTGTGTGTGTTTACAACAACAAGAAATCGATTAAAAAAAGTGCATCATACATCCGAACCCACACATAAAGGCTTTTCGGTGTTCGCTCTTCCCTGGAATGTTCTGTGCCTCTGATCTACGGCCCAGCAAACAAAAGCTGTTTAATAAAGGGCAGGAATGTGTTTGCTTTGGCCGGAGAGTCAGGGGCGGTAAAAGGGGAAGCATTTGAGCACAACACGAGCGGACGGGTGCTGAAAGTGTGAAAAGGGGAAGGTTTTGAGTGGCACACACGTGGACTGATTTTGTTAAGTGTGTCAAACTTTTTTTCAGTCGAAATGAAAACAAAAATTACTTTCTTATACATTTTGGTCTTACTGTGCATGATTACTCATTTTAATAATAAGTACTTGTACAGCATTTATTTAGGCTATTAATTTATTATGTTAACTTGTACATTTATTAAACCAATTAATTTTTCACATTTCAAGTTTTAACATTTCAGGTAATACTTATATAAATAAATACATTTCTTTATTTATGCATATTTATTTATCATATATTTATTTTCCTCAATTGTTTTTTTTAACTCATTGAAAATCCTATTTCACTTGTAAATATGTTGCAATGTGTGTGTGTGTAAAACAGTTAATTAATTTTGTGTATGAAAAGAAAATGTGGCAATCAAATAACTGTACAAATCATTCCCATCTCTGTGAATTGTTCTGTCCAAAAATAAATGATCAGCATTGCTGTCTGGCGGCAGTAATGGCACCCGGTGAAGCCACTTCCTGTCACTTAAGTGGACATGAGACAATAAGAACCAATCAAGCAGAAATTCATAACGTCCCAGACTCCCAGTGACAGGAAGTGAATGTTTGGTTAGATGCACACACAAATGGCCTCGTTACATTCTGTCACAGATCACGGCAAGGGTTCTTGCGTAACGCTTTTTTTATTTTTATTTTTATTTTTAGGAACTTGTTTGTGTTTGAAGGGACACAAATCAGAGGAGAAAGAACTCCGAACTAATAAAATTAATATGCTAAGAATGTGAATATCATGCTTTGTTCTCACTTATATGAAAAGATTATGATTTATATATCTTTTGTTTTTCCAGCCTGCGGTGTTGGATAACCTCCTGACCTCTATGAAGTTTGTACTCCATGGAATGGGTGTCCTTCGCATCAACCTCGCTAACAGCAAGAACAAGGTCTGAACCCAACTCTTTCATTTCTGCTGTTGAACAGTATATTTATTTATTATCCAGAGTTAAGATTTCTCTATTAAAATAAACTATTTTTAAATTTAGATTTTTATTTAAATTATTTGTAATATAACAAACAAAATTATTATTATTATATTTAATTTGTATGTCTTTATTATATACCCTTTTAGATTTTACATTTAATTTTTTGTAATATATAAAATTATATTTTTGTAATATATAAAAATGTAAACTTCTATTACTATTATTGTTATTGTTGTTTTTATTGATTTTGTGTACCCATTTAGATACTGTTTTAAACTCGTATTACTAGATCTTGTCACCCAGGGTTAGGATTTCTGCAATAAAAACCTATTTTTAAATTTATATTTAAATATTAGATTCATTTTATATTGAAATTTAATTTAAAAAGAATATATATATATATATATATTATTATTATTATTTTTTTTTAATATATAACAAATATACTAATATAATATATGAATCATATACTATTAATATTTATAAGTATTATGTCTTTATTATATACCCTTTTAGATACTGATTACATTTTTTTAAAATATATAGCTTAATATATTATTTGAATATATATATATAATAATTAATTAATATATATATATATAATTTCTTTTTATTATTTTTATTGTTTCAATGATACATTGCCTTGCGGTTTTACTGTTTGCGGTACTTACAAGGTCCACTAGGTGGCGGCATGTTTTCAGATCTAGGGATGTGAATGCAAGCATTCAGTCCAAAGCAACATATCAGTCACTGAGTCGTGTGCTATTAGAATCCTCCCTCGGTTCGAGAGGCTGCTCACTGCAGAGCAAATGGGTGGAGCTTACGTCTAGCTCCCCCTCACTAGACGTCCAGCGAGGATGAGCGAATGTAATTTGTGCCTAATAGGTGGAGCTAGAATATCCAACCACACCCTAACCCTACCCACAACTCTACCCTACACCCTAACCCTACCCTCAACTCTATCCTTCCACCCCATTAGACGTTCAGAGAGGTGGAGCTGGAAGTCATTTGACTCTACAGTGAGTACCACTTGCTTGGTTCCGGCGTGTTCCAGACTTCTGCCTCAAACAGTCATTATCTTCTTCCGGACGCACCTAACGGCACAATGAGGGCCGTCTGCTTTGATTATGAAATATAACCATGGTGTAAGGTGGCCTTGATCAGGTCATGTGATGAACACTGTACTGTAATTAGACAGATCAGCCATGCTAACAGCATGCTAAGTTTGAGCAGTTAGACAATCTGCACAGTTTAAATCCTTAAAATTGAGAAACGTTCTTGAAAAATTCTTTATTTTTAACTCTTTGTCGGAAGTACAAGTGGTTTATTTATCTATGTTTATGTTGTTTCTCCAGGTCCACGCTCACTCCGTTCTCTCGTGTGGCCGTTGTTTCGATGAAGACCAGATGCTGTTCCCGTTCATAGGCCATGCCCTCTGCTGTTTGTGGGCGGATCAGGGGGTGCGGTCGGCAGCGGCGCGAGGATACGAGTACGAGCTCAACGACTCGGCATTATAGTGAGTAACACTTCTCTAATTGGACTCTAATCGCTAATTCCTAACCATCGCTAATTAGACGTTAACGTTAACACAGTAATACATTATTTGCGAGCAATGTTTTTGACCAAGAGTTCAAATTATGATAATATATAATATCTAATATTAGACTAGATTTCTTAGAACATGCTCTTAGAGGTTTGTCCTTTCACATTTTATATTTGTTTTTGGAGTGTTTAGCTACTTAGCTGCGCAGTTTCTCGAAAAAGGCAGGCCGGTACTAAAATCGCACCCAGCTCCGGCGGTGCGAAAACGCCAAAAAGTGGGTAGTTCCACAAATAGATCTGGTACTATGAAAAGGTTCCCGCGGTGTGAAAGGCCCTAATGTTTTCAGTTAGTGTTTGGTGGTTAAAAAAAGCTCTTTTAACTAGCTTGAACAAGATAACACAATAACGCATTACCTTTTGATCAGACCTTGAGCAAAGAGAATTCAGACCAAACTCCAGAATGGGTCTTCGAAATGCTTTGCATCTGATTTGAATGCATTTAACCACGCTCAAATAGGCCAATCATGATCTGGAAGAGGTCATGAATGTTTTATTCTGATCTAATTGGTGGTTTGACACGGGGGCTGACCTCTGAATCTTTCTCATGTTCGGTAAACATTTCATGTGCAGCAAGGAAATTTACAGACAATTTTAAGAAAAACTATTTATCGAAATATTCATTTTATATTATTCTGAATGTATTAAAGATCCTTAGCACAGATTACGACATTCATTTTCAGTTATTGACCAGCATTTATCTCCGGAAGACTTGATCCTGAAGGTTTTATCGTTATTCAATGATTTATCGATTTTCTATCACTCTCGCCCAGGTTTTCCCGATGCTTCTTGATGCAGTTTCCGTAGCCTCTATGTAGGTGTAATGGAACTAATGTGTGCCTGCCACTCTTGAGCCATAATGGCCACTGATCTGAGACTCAATTACGTGTGTGTGTGATGGCAAACTAAAACACCAGGAGGCTGATTATTTAAATGAAGCAGAGAGGGTCACCCGTGTCGCAGGCGTGTGGTGTGTGCCACAGCGAATGAACCTCAAACTCCGCAGCGAGGTGTGTGTGTGGTAACTCATAAACGGCAATTAGAAAACAGTCAAACCTCAAAGCCTACAGCCTTTGCCAGTTGATATATATATATATATATAAAGGAATAATAATAATAATTTTATTTATATATATCCTGCAGTGCATGCTGGGATGTCACGTAATGGAGGTTTGACATGATAGCTTGTCTCTTTGATTAGCACGCAGGACACCTAGTGAAGGTTGGAAAGAATGAGGAAATTATGGAGGCGAGCGAGATGAGAGGTGCTGTGTGTGGTTGAAGTTGTCCATACCGAATGTGTTTGACATCAAATCCCACACACACAAAAACGCATAGCCTCAATTCTGCTGAATTCCCACACATGTTCACATATGTATTTGCTTAGCTGTAGTTTTGGGAAAAAACACCCCTATTAAGTGAATTAAACATTATTATTATTATTATTATTTCATAATTTAATTCAAATTATTTTTATAAAAAAACTCTTAAGGCTATGGTAAAGTAAGTGTTTGTGTGTGTGTGTGTGTGTGTGTGTGTGTGTGTGATTGACAGGTACTCCTGCCCCCGTTGGCCCCCGGGGCCAAGGGGCCTCTCTAGACACTTCAGTCAGTAATATGGAGTCAATAACATGCTTGTCACTGGGAGCGACTAAATTATCACCATGGCACTGATTTGAGTTGAGGTTTGAAGAGTGTTTAAAACGGACACACACACACATAACACATAATGAAGAATTTAGCTTGAAAAAGTACTAAAATTTCACTTTATTTTATAATAAGCCTGATTTGCATAAAAAGGAGGCTGAAAAGAATGACAGTGACTTGTGGTATTGTTATTAACTAAAGTTAAAATTATAAAGCTGAAATAAAATAATATATTAGATAAAAATCTAAAGAAAAATTTAAAATGTTGCCACCTACTGTTATGGTGGAGCAACAGTCTGAAAATAATCCTGCTAAAGCATGTTTGTTAAAGTTAACAAGCAACTAAACTGAATAATAGAACCATTGGTTTAACGATACATACGTTTGATAGTAACCGTTTACGCTAACGCCTAGCACTTGCTATAGAGTTGTGAATGTGAGAATACAGCACATATGTTTCCGTACTCACTAATGCAAAAGAGTTTCCTTCAAATATCTGCCATTACACTATGTGTTACAGTTAGGTAGCTTGCATGTCAACAGTTAATTACTTTAAATGATGAGAAACTTGTTTAGCGGCATTGCGGAAACAAGTTGAGAGAATTTTGCTGTGAAAGTTACTTAAACTGCAGTCAAGTTAGTACTCTTTTGAAAAAGTAGTTACTCTACAAGCTACTAACAAAAAGTAGCTAACTTAAGCTAAATTTAGTTGAAAACATGAACATAGTCAATAGCTAGCTATAGAAAGGGCGACAGCAGCTAACTTCAAATTTCTTAACAATTTCTTAACATGAATCTCTTCAAACCAGTGCTTTAGAATGAAATTAGTCATGTTAGGTAAACTACTTTAAAACTTTAGCCTGCCTAGCTGTAAGCTAATTGTCATTTACACTCTTTTCAGGAGGTAGTTAGCCACTCTACAAGCTAACAAAAAGTAGTTCACTTGAGCTGAATTTAATTGACAACATGAACCTAGTCAATAGCTAGCTAAAGGACTACATTTTAGCTAACTTCTGCATAATTATCTTCAAACCATTAGCTCTAGCATGACATTAGCCATGTTGGGTAAACAACTTTGAAACTTCAGCTTGTTAGCAATAAGCTACTTGTCATTTAAGCTAGTCTTTTTTTTAAACTAGTTAGCCACACTTGCTAGCCACAAGCTATTCAAATTTAGTTCAAAGGGCTTTTTTGTCTGTGGACTGCTAACAGCATTGAAGCTGCAATTCTAAATATTAAAATATGACAGGGATTCATTGCCCTTAGATGATAA